TTCAGCTTGGAGCTACATGGTAAATGCAGCATACACTTAAATACCAAGTGTGGAAATTTCAGTTGCATGCCCTTATGAAGATTCACTTTTTCCATAAATCTGTAAAACCCATTTTCATACACAAAGGCAATTCAATGTGCTTTACATAGTACATGGTCTACCATTTAAAGGTTTGGGGTCACCTCCATTTTTACAGTTGTTAGTGTAATTCAACAGCCAAACACACGTGTGCCATTCTTCTAGTACTGAAACGAAGTATACTGCACAAGTCCCCACAGATGTGTTGCACTTGTAGGCCACTTTGCTTTCACTCTTCACACACTGTGCCTCCAGTCCGTCATCTGAAGCTGACTGCCTTGTTCTTTTCTTCTAGGCAGCCTGCAGATGGTTTTATGGCTCATTATCCTGCTGTAGGATGAAACTCTTAATGGCCTTTTTCCAAATAACACTACAGTGGGTGTAGCAACTGTTTTTTCCAAACACTGCCTGTGTACAGACAGATTTTGTTGTTGTAAGTCATCAACAAATGCTGGCTTCATGCACTCCTAGTGCTGCAGAAAGGCCTGTTTTATATGACATTTACATACATTCTTAGTTTTTGGTGACTTTTTTGTTTGTTTTACCTCTGGCGGTTTATTTCTTAGCTTTGCACCATTAACAGTTATTGACTGGATTTGAACTCCTTCAATGTCAAAAACTGGAAAGATGGAGGTGACCACAAACGTTTGAGTGGTAGTGTACATGCACAGAAACATTAAATACAAAAGAAAAGAACAAAAGTAACAGAAGATAAAGTGTAAAAATTTGGTGTCAACTGCTGCACAGGCAGGACACATTTTTTTAACTGGTGTCAACTGCTGCACAGGCAGGACAAACAGCAGGCAGACAGTAGAGCCTCGCGACATAAAGAGCAGCCTGACAAAGTGCCAGCCACACATGGAGGGCAAGCAAAGTGACAGATGTCAGAGGAAACACAAAACAGTGTCATTTGTGCTTGATTTCCTCCTGGGGCCCTGGGGATGAGGCTGCTTGTTGGCTTTAACAGTTAAACAGCCCATGTGATGTTTACCTCCTTGGGTGAAGCCATCTGCAAGCACTGGAGACAAACACACTCAGTATTTCAAACCTTGATCACACCCTTGAACCTGCCAGTTCTACAGTGACACCAGTCAAGGGTGCACAGAGGAGTTCAAACCACAGGCTACATACGGAAGGAATGAGACAAAAAAGGGAAGACTGTGCGCAGCAGGGGTGGAGTGTCAGAGCAGAGAGGTGAGGCTGCATCTCCTCCGCCTGGCCAACACCCCAAAATACAGATAGGGCTTTTGATTCCTGTGGTAAGGTGGCGCTGAATTCAGTGGGTCCCAGTGGGCCTGCTTTTTTAAAACAAGGAGTGGTCTAAACAATTGAGATTATTCCAAGAAATTTGTTTTTGAGGTTTTGCAACTCCCTCCACCAATCGGAGGCAGGCAGTTAATAAGACTTCCTGATGCCCAGCTGTGTGAATCGGCAGGTGTCGTGCTGTGGCCGGGGATGCCAAACGTCTCTCAGAAATGTGTTCCTCACATTCCAGCAGCCACAAAATCTGTTGAGCCTTGTTTAGTGCCATAAAGAGGCAAGCGAAACAGCCAAATACAACAGTAAAAACAGCACCGTAAACTATGGCAAGTTACATTTGTTTACCGCACTGACAGCGGTGAACTGATAATCATTATCAGAACATCTCGAGCAAATAAGGAAAACACAGCTCATACGTGAAAGTTATCTGAAATGTAGTAGAATTTCATTTGACACGTTTCAATGGACACATTGAAAGTATCTTGACACTTTTGTGAACATGTGCTGTTGTGACAATGATATATACTTTATTCTGAAGCTGCAAAGATGAGTGTGAACAATGTGTGAAGATAAAGGTTCCATTTTTACTGCGATGAAACTATCTCCTCGATCAGTGACAGCTTCTGAGCAGTCTTAAATACCCCATGTGAAATACCTTTCCCAAGTGCCATGATAACATTTAAGCTGCATTACAGCTATGTGTCATTAGAATAAACTTCTGAGAATACCTGACGTATAAGATTAATGAAGCAGATAGATTTCCTGCATTAGTGTGACAAATACAGAGTAAACATGAGCGCGTCCTTTACAGCCTGAACATTTAGTATAAATCTCTGAGCATGTCATAGAAACCTCAAAATAAACCATGCATGTCACCTTTGGTAGAGTCTCTGCTTCAAGATGAGAAACCACTTCCTGTCAGGCCAGAGACAGTGGAGCTGTGGCGTTGACTGTGATAATGAAAAGTCCTACACATAAACCGTAGCAGACATCTTGGTTTCTCTGACAAAGCTTTCCATCATTATTCAGTGGTTGTTATCGTTCATTTGTATTCATCTAATCTATGCAGGATTGTGTGTTACCAAGGCACAATAAGGTACACGCTGAGGTTGCCACTGCTTTCAACTGTGCACTCCCTATTTCAGACCCAGACAAAGCAAATGATCACACAATGTCTCGTCACATTAACACTGAGCTGCAAACTGTCAGCACCAGCGTCACATGCTCTGACAAACGAAGAAACAGATTTCTTTTTGTGCTGTATTATTATCTTTTTTTTTTTTAACAACAATTTCTTGTACTTGAAGCGCAATGCTCAGCCACAACTTATAGAGCGGGCAACCAAACCACAGACCAAGAAGCCAACACTGGCACTCTGATTTTAGCACAGACGTAAGCTCAGTGTGAAGCTCCGGCAACACATTTTAAATATGCTTTAAGTTGCACATAAAGTGCATGTTATTGACACACTCAACTGAGCTCATCATGCAGATTCGAAAAAGAAAATGAAGGCGGTGGTGGTAAGGTTTTGATGTTGCATGTTTTTGCTCTATCACTTAGTAACAAAACCTCAGACCACACTGTGTGATTGTATGTGTCTGTGAAAGGGAAGAGGGGGAGGTTGTTGTAGGTGTCACACTTATAAATAGTCAGTGCCTCTGAAGTACCTTTGACACAGGAATACATTTACAACGGTACTTTAAAGGCCCTACTCTACAGGCCCAGAGTGAAAACCTTTCCAGAGATGTCGAACTTGTGCTGAAGATGACCCAAGTCTTTGCTTTCATACATTCTTCTTGTTAATGTACAGCATTTGTCAACAATTCCCATTTCTCTAATGAAGACATTAGAACTGTAGTGTCATTGATTATCTACAGTGGATTCAGAAAGTACTCACACCCCTTTACTTTTTGCACATTTTACTGTGTTGTGCATTCAATTCTGAATGGATACGATTTCCATTTCTACCCATCATTATACCCTTAATCACTCATGATGGCAATGTGAAAGCATGATTGTACTGTTGTCTGAAAATTTAAACAGAATCAAAACCTGAACTCTTTTACTGTTAAACGTATTCAGACCCTTTGCTGTGGAACTCCGGTGTCTGGTCAGACAACTCTTTGGGCAGTGAACCACAAAGCTGACGGTGAGCGTCTATCGGGGCTCATCTTCCCAGGGTGTCCTGCACCGTTGGCACCAGTCAGACCCTGTCAGCGGCTTTTCAGCCCGGTCAGATCTCCTCTGCAACCTCGTCTCTTCTTCCACAACCATAAAACCAAGGGCAGAATACTGCAGTGCCATTTGTAACTTCAAGTGTTACATTTCAGCTCAACTGGCACAAACAAAGTTGACGTGAGGCGATGCAACAGTCAGCCTACATCGCTGCTAGTCCTTTCCACGTTGGCTTGGTGTGTGTCTGCCCTTTGACCATGGTTTCGCTTTGTCATCATGGGTGATTAAATGTATAACTAGACAGCACTCAGCAAGTGCAAACCTCAGCAAACGAGCAACTTTGTTTTCCCCAAAACTCCATAATGTTTGTTTGATAAACTGCTCATACAGTCTCCGTTACTGTTGCACTATGAAGTGATCCTTCACATCTTGTGTATGTGTGTTTCAGCCACTCCCTCCTCTAAACAGAGACAGCACAGTGTAAAATACAGTCAAAAAACAAAGTAGGATGGTCCATATCAACTTGTGAGGTTATGCCTGGTGACGGTAAAGGGAAGCACGTGGTGTACCGCTCATCAGGTTCCAACAGTAAAAACACAGCTATAATGCACAGCTGGAACACTGCTGTGCTCGCTGATAGACTGCTGTGCCCGGCTGAAGCTGCCTGCTTGGCCAGATGACGGGCCCTAACATCTCCAAAAACACTGGAACAATTTTCAAACCTGGCATTACTTGAATAGCCTGATCACATATTCTCAATCTAAGCGGTCACTTTGTCGCCTGAAAAAAAGTCAAAACTTTATAATAAAGTGTCATAATCCCAGTCCTACGGACCAAAACATTAACAGCTTGGAGCCTGGCTCCAAATCTCTGCCATCAGGCTCTCGCCCAGCTGTCGCTGTCTCTGGGTTCCTTCAGTTCCCGTCTCACACAGCGGGGTGTACTGAGTGACAGCACTCGGTTTCCACTGTCAATGGATGGGCAGCCGTCACTAACCCAGGGATTTGTCTCCGCATGTGCTCAAAGTGCTCAGCAGCACAGCCGTGCACTTTGGCTACGGGGAC